GTACAATCCCATGTTGGCCTACCACCTGCACAACCTGTACAATCCCATGTTGGCCTACCACCTGCACAACCTGTACAATCCCATGTTGGCCTACCACCTGCACAACCTGTACAATCTCATGTTGGCCTACCACGTGGACAATCGCCCATGCAACCAAACAACGGTGGTATTGTTCAAAAGACACCTAAAGGGAAAATAGCTAGATTCGTTAATGCAATTAAAAATTTTGTAAAACAATCAGATGCAAAGTTTGAAACTGAGATCCTAAACGTAATGGTGCTTCCTTCAGAAACCAGCAGCAACAGTGGAGAAAAACCTGGACTCATGACCAGAATTCTTGATACAATAACCATCACCTCCCCAATTATCGTAATGATTGTCATTTTCATAATCCTTGCTGTTCATTCACAAACGGTAGGTATGAGCATACTGGCCGCACTGATTGTTACAACATCTGCATATTTTTACCATAAGTACAGGAAATGCAAACGTATGTTCAAACATTACGGTAAAACCAACGATCCCAAAAAATTTTTAGAATCTGCAACGCCCCCACAAATTACCCTTCAACCTGAACCTCCAAAAAATAACGTAGTTAATTACACACATTAATTCTGTTTTTGTATTCAAGAGTATAACGCGCATATATCCTACATATATATGTAAGCTACATGTAAGTTTTCCTCATCTTTATCATACAAGATTATTATAAATGTAGTTTTGTATGTTCCCTATTTAGTAAAATAAATTAAAATTTTCTTATTCACTATGTACATAAATTATTAAAATTATGTGTAAATGTTGTCTTAAGGTTTTTTTTTCTTCTTTTTCCTTCCAAAAAATTTATTTTTGCACCCTTTTTTTTCCTTTGTTCTTTTTTCTTTCCTTCTATGGGTATTTTTACTATGTATGTATATTCTTTTCACATTTGTTTATACACAACAAAACAATACAATACCATTTTCTATTTGTTTAATCTAAGACACAATACTCCTCAGTACCATTTATAATTCTAATATTCCTTTTAGCACACTATTCCATTGTTATTTTAGTAAATTACACTTTAGGACACATTTGATGTATTAAAAAGTAATAATACATATTATTGTCCCTGCTAAATGGAAGATAGTTTAATCGGCATTTCTCAGCTTGTTAAAGCTAAATTTGTGTACCTGCTCTTTGTTACAAGTATACTTTGGCGCTTCTTATTATGCAAAGTAAATGTTACATTACCTACAACAAAACATTAAATGGTTAATTCTGATAAACCTTATTATGCGTGTATGTTTTTTTTTTTTTTTTTTATATTTGTTTGTTCACTTCTAACATGTGGCTTCTTTTCGTAATAACTGTACTATTGCTAAAAAAGGTAAAACTCTTAGAAATTATAATTTTTCTTACCATGTACACAACATTCATGTAAAAAAAACAAATTAGCACTTGAACTGCGGCTGCGTTTTCGTTCTAATGCCATCCTATCGTACGACTTAATTATTTCCTGTGTGCCCGAAGAATAGGCAATTAATTTATTGTTTTTAAATGAGACCATTAAAAAAAATACAAAATAATATAACGAATAAAATGTATTAATACATATAAATAAATAGCGATGACACCACGCCACATCATCCTTAAAGGGTCTTGTTTCACTACCCGCATAGTGGGAACAAAAATAACTGCAACATATTATTAGGCGCGTACACTCACATGCCTACTGCCTTATATTTTTTTGTACCCCTCTCCATTCTTTGCAACAACGCTCCATAATGCGGCATTATATTATAGGCATAATTATATAATATGCTCACGTAACATATACGAAAATACGCTTCTGAGCCATTTTCAGCATTTCTAAAATTTTATAAATTATACTTTAAACAGAAATCCGAAATCTGTAAATTATAAATCGCTATCTAAATATAAATCCTATATGTGACGAGGCCTCTTTTTTTGTCCAATGTACTCCGCCCTCTTCACGAATTTAAAATGATAAGCCTCTTAGTGAAGAACAAAAAAAAAAAATAAAGCACAACAAAATATATAATGAGTCTGCCGGTGCTAGTGTTCTTATTTTCGCGATTTTATTCTTATATGTAATGATTTTTATTATTTATATATAGCCCCTTGTCTATATGCAGAGAGCAATTATTATTTTATTACGGTTTTTTATTCATGTTTTTATTGCATCATATATAGAAGCATACAATATAATTCCATAAATAATATTTTATTACTCCATATTACATTTTTTACCGTACTGGCGTCAAGTTGTTTAAAAAATATTTTTTTGTTTCTTTTTTTACTCCAATTCTCATGGTTTATATTGATATACGCGTAAGAACGATTTTAGAAAAATAAAACTCTCACCCATATAGATTGATTCTTCAGAAAATACATTTTTTAAAAACAACAAAAATTTCATTCCACTTGAACGTTTCTTCCGTATTTTTCTCCTGTTTTTCTTACCCAAAGTTTCCTGTATTTTTTTTTTTTTTTTTAAATAAAGGGAAAATCATCATATCTTTCCCATTCTCTTCCTTTTATTGTTCCGTATATTTCATAACAAAGAACAAGTCTTTAGTGCCACCGGCCATTTCTGAATCGATTATTCTATTCTATTTTTCTTTCCCTTAACCCTAAGTAAGAAATTTAAAAATAAGTGTCCAATAATTATATAGGTACAATTTTGCCTTGTAGAAAAAATTTCCTTCTGAATACGCTTACAGAACTTGTTTCTATTTCAGCGGACTTTTATTTCTACATTGCTCAAGCGCTCATTTCGAGCAGTTCCTTCAGATAAACCAAACCCTATCCTCACCAAGATTTAGTCATTATGGAACCAGTTATAGAAGCTGCCAGCACCATTGCGCCAAAGTCCTACTCATTTAGGGATATAGCCTCAATGTACAAAGATAAACTCCTAAATATTAATAAGGAGCAGATGATCATAACCTCGGGTATCATTATGGCTGTTCTCACATCCGCTGTTGTCCTTGGTGCTATTTCTACGGTAAGATAAAAAAAAAAAAAGAAAAAAAAATTTACAAGTCCAAGGAAGGGACAATAATACCTCCTATCTGTACTTTTTCCGTCTGTGAGTGTTAACATGTGCATATACACGGTTAATTATAATATACGCTAACCCTCCACCTCCCTCCCCCCCCTCGGTCGATGTAAAAAGCATGGAGAGCTCGATAACATTTTTGGAGACGAATGCGACGATGAGGAAACGAAGAATAAAAAAGAACACATAGAAAGAACCGAAGAGTGGAAAAGAAAAGAGTGGTGCGACTGGAAGGAAAAATTGGAAGAAGACTGGAAGGTATTTAACGAAGAATTACAAAATGAAAAAAAAAAATTTGTAGAACAAAAACAACAAGAGTGGGATACATGGATAAAATCAATAGACACAAAATGGACACATTATAACCCTAACATGGATAAAGAATTCCACACCAATGTCCTAGAGTGTTCAGCAAATTGGACTGAGACTCAGTGGAGAGAATGGATCAAAGCAGAAGGAAGACTATACCTCGATGTCGAGTGGAAAAAATGGTTTTTTGAAAAGCAATCTCACCTAGATGAATTATTTGTGAAGAAATGGATCCAGTGGAAAAAAGACAAAATCATCAACTGGTTAATATCTGACTGGAAACGAGAAGAACAAGAACACTGGGAAGAGTTCGAAAAAAAACCATGGTCTTCTAAATTATTTCAAATTTTCCAAAAAAGAGACTATGAAGCATTTAAAGAGAGAACTAATGAAGAATGGGATGATTGGTTTGACTGGGTAAAAACAAAAGATAACGTTTTTATTACAAACATTCTAGACCCATGGATAGAATGGACTGACGAAAAGAGTGTTCTGTACGACCAATGGGTTGAGTCCTTTATCACCAATTGGATAAACAAGAAGCAGTGGACCGTCTGGGCATGTGAGAGAAGAAGCGCGGCCGCAAAGGAAAAAGCTACATTAACTAAAACAAATTAATCACACACACAAAAAAAAAAAAAAAAAAA